AGCCTAGAAGGGCAGGTAATTTAGCCTGCTCTGTTGATTGTATTATAGTCTGTGCCTAGAATAGTGCCTGCACATAGTGTGGCTTCATATATCATTGTTGAAAGAATGAACCCCAACCAACTCCTTCCAAGATATGCAGGTACACCTGGGTCCTCTCTGCCAGCCCCTAGGGTTCCCCGCACTGAATACACCCAGAACCCTGTGGATAGAATCACACATTTCCTTTAAAAATACCAAAACAGCTAAGTCCAAGGGCACAATGTCAACAAGGTTGTGACAAAGACTTTCTCATGATGGGTAGGAAAATCGCAAATGAGAACAACCACAGCCCCTCCAGCAGATCTTTCCATAGGGCCGGGCACAGCACAAGCATTTTCCATGGAGGATTCCATTGGAGGTGGTTCTGGTACCACCATGCTGATCGGAAGAGAAAACTGAGGCTCAGAGGGGTGCAGTGACATTCCCAAGACTCAGAGGTAGGAGGTGGCTGGGTCACACTGTGCATTGGGGAAGCAGGGCAGAGTGCTCACCATTGGAAGAGCAGGTCCCACACCTGCTGTGGGGTGGCAAAGGTTTGGTATGTGAAGATGAAGGTGAAAATATAGGAGTAGTCCCCGCCAAGGAAGATGGGCACCAGGTGCTCTACGAGTGTCTGCAGTATGTCTACCCTACCTGATGGTCTCTTTTGGGTTCAGGGAAGACTCATTTGCACTCTGGGGTGGGACAGAGGAGAGACACACAGTTAGTGGCACCACCACGAACCACCAGGAGGGTTGGGTCCAGAGCTCAGATCAAACTGCAGACCCATAATTCTCATGAGTACCCTAGGAGCAATGCTGCTCTCCATGTCAAAGTTAGACTTGGAAGGGAATACAATTTCAGCAGGGAAGTCAAAGTACTGGTTCTTCAGGACAGTTTGTCATCTGAATAATTTTAATACCTCTGTGTGTTAAGGGGATTATCTATTGAGTCCTGATCAACATCCCACTCTAGAGATGACAACACAGAGGCATAGCCTGCCTTGGGAGTGATCAGTATATTAGGACACATGTGGCATTCACCGCTGAGTAATGAAATGACCACAGAAATGAATCAATACAAGGTTCCAGGGCAGCGAGGGGCCAACATGCTGTGGTAGCCAGTCTCCCTTCTGGAATGTGGTGTGGTGTAGCCTGGTAAGGCCCCAGCTCCTGACCTGGAGGGCCATGGGGTTGTGTTCCTCAAGATAGCAAGCTGCAGAGAAAGAGACAGAATAGCATGATCCCCTGTTATTTCTGGGTTAAAAACAGCCCTAGTGATCATGATAACCATATGCAAGATTTGGAGAAGGTGTGGAAGGATAGCCAGGTCAAGTCTTCCATGGATATGTGCGGCAAGAGTAAAAGAAAATAAGGCAAAATAGTGAAGTGGAAATATAATTTAGACCTATGCTGATGTGAAAAAGTTATCAAATTTTATTTTCTGATGTTCATACAAACATGTTGCCTTGGGTTCAATGCCCCCTCCCAAACTTAATCCCCTCTGTAACTGTTGAGAGTAGGAAATCCTGGTATGGTAATTGAAAGGTGGGACCTTGAAGAGGAGATTAGATTGTAGGACCATGCCATAATGAACGGATTAAAAATGGTGGTCATGGGCATGGTTCTGAGGGCTTTAAAAACAGTGAATGAGGAGGTTACTCTCTGCTCTCTCTCTGCTCCACCGTTTCCACAATGTGGTAATCTGCCATCACTGTTGCGAACACCAAGGCTCTCAATAGATGTGTTCTCTGGACTTCGGACTTCCCAGCCTCTGAAACCATAAGCAATACATTTCGTTTTCTTATAAATTACCCAGTACCATGTATTGTGTTATAAACAAGAGAAATGGATTAATATGTGAGCAGTGACTTTGCCCCAGGCCACAGCAGAGGCTGGGCAGTGAGTGAGAGGGTGGAAAAGGCAGGATGGCCCAGATTCCTTTGAGAACAGAAGTCTGGGGCCCTTAAACTGCAAAGGCCTGGGAGTCAGGGGGTAAGCATGGCCTATGGCCCACACCGTTGACATAAGATGAAAAAACAGACCCTAAGGCAGATAGATCCCACTGGATCCAACAGCACCTCTGAATCAAATCAACTGTGGATGTGACATAAAACAGAAATTGATAAATTTTTTTGTGAAAACGGCCAAAGAGGAAATATTTTAGGCTTTGTGAGCCAAAAGGCAAAACTGAATATATTCCATAGGTACTCATATAAGGAAACAGAAATGTCCACAAGTGTGCTTACTGATGAAATTCAAGAAATGATAAGAAAAATAAGTGTAATTTTTTGTAATACAGGAACCATTAGTGAGAAAAACAGAATTTTTCTTTGGGTGGATAACATCTCATCTAACTGGAATCCACAGTCAGTGTTACCCATCACCAAACAAGTTACAAATGTTCACTTCTATGAACCTTTCTTAGCTTGTAGACCATATAAAAACAGGTGGAAGGCCCAATCTGGCCCATGGTCCATCATTTGCCAACCCCTTCAATACACTATATGGTAACCCCAAATTCTGCTGTGACTTTGGAGTAACTTATATTTTATGCTCTCTTCATTATCAGCAAACTCAATCTCACACTATTCAACAGTGTACAAAAATCAAATGAGTTGCTCTGTTTTCCTATCAGACAACTGAAAAACATCAAGTTAACCTCACATGTCTTCACAGCAACATTCAAACGCCAGAACATATCCTCAGAAAATAAAGACTAGCTTAAGAATTATATACAGAGCCAAGTTTTCATTTAAGTGTGAAGATAACAAACATTATCAAGCATACAAAATTCAGGAATATCACCCACTAGCCCTTCCTATAAAAAATGCACAATAATAAATCCCACCAATGCATGGATGAAGGGAGAAAACATGGAAATAAAGAAAATAGTAGTAAGAGCATTAAACTCATTTTAATGTAGAACTAACACAAAACAATTATGGGACTTATGAATAAAGAACAGAATCTTCTATTCTTATATTTAGATAGTAAAAAAAATTTAAATATAAGTATAGAAATAATAGTGTAAGTATTAAAAACATCACAATGGGAAAAAGGGACGTAGAGGAAATGTAGGGAGCATAAGTGCTTTGATTTCCTCATGTTTCAGATACAGAGGTCAAGCAACACTGTTTAAGCCT